TTTTCTTTTTTCTTACCTTTTTTTTTTCATATAAATTTTTTGCTTTTTTTTTTTTTTTTTAATTCGTCTTTTCCAATATCAAATAATATCCATTTCTTTTCTTTTCTATATTTCTTTTTTTCTTGACATATCAAATTCTTTTTTTAAATTTTTCTTTTCTTTTTTTTTAATTTATATTTTTCCAATATGCAAACTAGCTCAAATACTCTAAACTATATTTATAAATCACCTACAAACCTGTATCAAAGGTTTTGTAATACCTACGCATATATAATCGAATAGTAATTACTAAAAATCTAAAATATAAAAAGGAGTTATTGTGTAATGAGTATAATGATGAGTAGAAAGAAATAAAAAACAAACCAACACATGAAATCAAGAACATCATCAAAAATCTTACTCCCGTGATACCTATCGTCCAAAACTCTAACACTAGTGCTGCAAACCTCAATACTGCTACTCATATCCTTAATACTACCAACATCAATACCACTCATAACCTTAATGCAGCTAACACCAACATCCTAACTACTTAAACCCTTAATCTTGCCAACACCAATATCATTTAGCCTTCTCATAACCTCAGTGCTACCGATATCAACATCATAGAGTTTACCCATAATCTTGGTGTTGCTCCAAATAATATAGTGACTAAAAACAATTTAACATATATTTATAAATCACCTACAAACCTATATCAAAGGTTTTGTAACACCTACGTGTATAATCGAATAGTAATTACTAAAAATCCAAAATATAAAAAGGAATTATTGTGTAATGAGTGTAATGATGAGTGAAAAGAAATAAAAAACAAACCAACACACAAAATAGAGAACATCATCGAAAATCTTATTTTTGTGATACCTATCATCCAAAACTCTAACACTAGTGCTACCAACCTCAATACTGCTACTCATATTCTTAATGCTACCAACATCAATACTGCTCATAACCTTAATGCAGCTAATACTATTAACACCAACATCCTAACCGCTCAACCCCTTAATCTTGCCGATACCAATATCATTCTGCCTTCTCATAACCTCAGTACTACCAATATCAACAACATAGAGTCTACCCATAACCTTGGTGTTGCCCCAAATAATATAATGACTAAAAACAATTTAACATATATTTATAAATCACTTACAAACCTGTATCAAAGGTTTTGTAATGCCTATGCATATAATTGAATAGTAATTACTAAAAATTCAAAATATAAAAAGAAGTTATTATGTAATGAGTATAATGTTGAGTGGAAAGAAATAAAAAACAAACTGATATATGAAATAGAGAATATCATTAAAAATCTTACTTCCGTAATATCTATCATCCAAGACTTTAATACTAGTGCTGCCAACCTCAATACCACTACTCATATCCTTAATACTACCAACATCAATACCGCTTATAACCTTAATGTAGCTAATACTGCTAACACCAACATCCTAACTACTAATAGTCTTACTTATAACCTTAATGCAGCTAATACCACTAACACTAACACCCTAACCACTTATAATTTTAATGTTGCCAACATCAATACTATTCATAACCTTAATGCATCCAATACCGCTAGCACCAACATCCTGACCACTCATAGCCTTAATCTTGCCAACACCAATATTATTCAGCCTTCTCATAGCCTCAATACTACTGATATCAATATAACTTAGCCTACCTATAACCTCAGTTCTACCGATATTAACACCATTCAACCAACCCATAACCTCAGTACTGCTCCTGTCATACTTTTACGAATAATTGAGGAAATAATTGCATCTGATTCACCTCCAGCAAACACAGTAGTGTAAAAGCAAGCTGTAGAAATTATTAATGATACGAATAAAAAGATCGCTAAATGTCAAAGAGTCTATAACTTAATAAATAACTTTGAGGCTTGAATCAACTTAATGAATGATATACAAGATCACAAACAAGTTCTCCATGCAGAAAATAAGAGAATTAAATGCCTACAAAAGCAAGCAGAGTATAAACGTAATAGTGTAGAAAAAAAATTATTATTAATATTAATAATATAGTACAGTCACCTCCTATATAATCACTCACTCTTTACAAGTACCACTTTTTTGAAAAATTATTGGCAATATATTTATTAAAAAAACTCTATATAATCACATTACTATTAAAATTTTATAATCA